GTTGCGCTCGCGGTCTCGTGAGAGGCGTCGTGCCCTTCTTTGGGATATGGCGCGTGAGGACGCGCGCATGCAGTGTCGGGATTTGGACATTAGAATTGCGGTGCACCAGCCGTTGCTAGACGATAGCACTGATGAATGGCTTTGCCGTTTAGACTACTTGCGCCGCGGGGCTCGGCGCCGTCCTATATACATAGGCACAACGAGCGATCCTGCCTGGAGGTTTTTGGGGGATGGTGGATTTCTTCGCGACTGCGATGACAGTCGTCGTGGCCCCATGCGGGGCCATTGTAAGGATTACAAACTAATGCATGTAATTGCATCGTTGCCGGACCGCGAGTGTGCGGCTGCTGAAGCGCTTGCAATCAATCGGTCTCTAGGTTCGAATATGAATAACAAAGTCGCAGATGCGCGGGGTCTTGAGATCAGAAGCATTCGTTATTCATTCCTTTACATTTGTATTGGCTGACAAGCCTGCTGACAAGCCTGGGGAAAGGCAAACAAGGGCGTTCCCTCCATCCTCTCCTCTGTCCCTCCTTATCCTACTCTCCTCCCTCATTCCCCTCCTCCGTCCCTCCGCTCCTTCTCTCCTCTATCCCTCGTCGTCGTCTCATTCGTCGTCCGTCGTCGTCGTCCATCGTCGTCGTGGTCGTATTCGTCGTCGTCGTCGTCGTCCCTCGTCGTCCGTCGTCGTCGTCCGTCGTCGTCGTCGTCGTCGTCGTCGTCGTCGTCGTCGTCGTCGTCGTCGTCGTCTGTCGTCTGTCGTCTGTCGTCGTCGTCGTCGTCGTCGTCGTCTGTCGTCGACGTCGTCGTCGTCTAACGTCGTCGTCGTCCCCGCCCGTGGCGGCCCCCCGCCACGCGCTATTTCGTGAAGACCTTCACTATATGCAGGCCGGTGCGCCCGCGCGTGCTCGCGCCGTGCGAGGGAGGGAAGGAGGAGAAGGAACAGTAGAAGGAAGAGGAAGAGGAGGAGGAAGAGGAGGAGGAACAGGAGAGAGGGAAGGTAAAGGGCATGAGTAGAACCGTAGTGGGATAGGGGCAAGGCGAAGGGGAGAAACAACACATGAGTGGATCAAGGAGCATAGTAGGCGCGGCTTGGAAAGCTAGGCGGCGTCGGCCTGGGCCTCGGTGGGCCCCTTCGGGACTTTCAGGCCTCCGATGTAACATGTATTATCTTATCATCGTCGACGTCATCGTCGTCGTCTTCGTCGCCATCGCCATCATCATGATCACCACCATCACATCCGCCACCAGGATCTCTATCATCACCACCACCATCACAATCATCATCGGCATCAGCATCATCATCATCATCATCAGTATCATCATCAACATCATGCCTGCCACTCCCATCGTCCTCCTCCTCCTCCTCCTCCTTATCATCATCATCATCATCACCATCATCATCGCCATCGTCATCAACGTAATCACTATCATCGTCACCATCGCTGTCATCATCGCTGCAATCGTCGCCACCGTGGGTTGCCATCACCGTCGTCTCACTCATGATCCTCATCATTATCGTCATCCTCGTCGTCATCACTCTCGTCATAACACACAGATGCGCCCAGGATCGCTCCTCGATCCCCAGACCTGTCCAGCGAGGCGACGAGGGGGGTGCGCTCAAGGGGAGACACCTGCCAGGAGTCGAGGCCGAACCTCCGTTATCCTTTATGCCTTCCCCCTTTCCCTTATCCGTTATCCTACTTATTATGCCTTTCCCCTTTCCCTGGCGATCTCCTCCCCTTCATCTTCCCTCTCTCCCTTATCCTACTTATTATGCCTTCCCCCTTTTCCTCGGCCATCTCCGACTCTAACCCTCCATCATGACACAGCATGCTGCGCCATCAAGTGCATGTATGCCATACCACACGCCATCGACATCGTCACAAACTCACACGGCATAGCCGTTTTGGCTGTGTTTTCCAATGTTTAGAGGATATGTTCAGCAATAATGGATTTTGCCTCTGCTACTGGTTTCCTGTTCGACGACTCTTCTGGGAATGGCCCTCTATCCACCAACCATCCAGAGCTCACAGAGCCCGCCGTCGACCAACTGACGACGCAGAAGGGAGGAGGACGTCATAACCTGCCAACTACTACTACTGGTGAGTGCTGCAAGTTATGGAACAGCATGAACCTGCAATGGTCCAAACGCCTACCTATCGCTAGAGACACCACAGGTGGGGAGTCCTGGTTGGACTCCTACACGGACAGCAAAGGAGAAGTTCATATTGGCTGCAAGGTATGCAAGGCCGTCGAGACAGGCAAGGTCGACTCCCCAAAAATGGCAGGATGCAAAGATCGGCGGCTGGCTGCGCAGTCCAGGTCCTTTGCCACATACGGCTTGTCTGCTAGCTCGGTTAGATTCTCTACACTTCAGCGCCATCACAAATTGGCCTGGCACAAAGCATGCAGCAAAGCGTTTCTTGGTGAGACCCTGGAGAATATAATGCCTGGCACCCCGTCCGAAGCAGAGTTTGTGAGTGTGTTGGAGTCGGTGCGGAAGGGCCATGCTCCCAACGAGGGCATCAGCAACATAGGCGCCGCCAATAAAATCAAGAAGATGATCTTCTGTCTAGCTGAGGCGGTGAGATACTTCGACAGGCAATTCCTGCGCAAGGCCGTGACGCTGTCGATGCGTCGGGACGAGTCCAATGGACGTCTCTCGGTCAGGTTCTGTGCCACCGACGCTAGTGTGGATCTTAGCAGCAGTCCAGTCCGATTGGATAGTGAGGAGGAGGAATATGAAGGAAAAGGACGATGACGACGACGACGACGACCACGACGACGACGACGACGACGACGACTGAGGAGATCAGCGTGTCCGGTCAGTCTCGGTCTGTCCGGTCAGCCACCCAACTAGTCAGCCCTGTCAGTCCAGCCAGTCAAGTCTGTCAAGTCGGTCGTCAATCCATCAGCCCACCAGTCAGCCAGTCCAGCGAGCCAGACTAATCAACAATTAGCTCAGCCAATCAAGCCGGTAGGCCTAGGCAGTCAAGCAAGAAGTCAGCCCGCTGGAGTTCACCAGAGCGGGTCCCAGAACAGCCCCCCAGAGCCCCAACAGCACAATACAAGAGGAACGTTTTCAAATAGTCTTGTTGTCGCGGTCCTATCAGGATTCTTAGAGAGTTCCCACAAAATCCCAGCTGATTTGGCTAGGCGTTTTCATGGCAGTACCTCTGGAGTCCTACCTCTTAGTTTAGGGTCTTCCCAAGTTCCTCGTAATGTTTTCATCAGCTTGGCACGTGCTTGGATTCCAGATCTGAGGTCTCAACACCAGGACTGGGGTATTGGGCATCGCTCGCGGCTTCGGCACTGGTGCCGAAGCCATAACAGCCGCGACCAAGACCATCTTCAAGAATGCTGCCACCATCAAGTGGAACATGAAATCCCAGAGCACAAGCACGACCCTCGAGAAGCATCTCCAGACTATCACCACCCAATTGTTGGTCGATTCGGCAGCCGACGAGAGCTTGTCCGCTAGACAAATGCGGGAAGGCATCAACTACGACGGCAACGACGTGCTGACTCCGAATTTGACAGGGCACATGCTTGCAGCCGCGTCTTGAAACGGCCCTTCCAGGCAGACGCAGTCTTGTCAGAGTTGTTGGAATTCTACATTCAAGGAAAGGATTCTGTTGTGGCAACCATTACCTATTCCACCCACATCCAAGACGTGTGGGACAAGTTCCAGCAGAGGGATGACAACCCGGAGATCGACTCGAGGATCAAAAACCTTGGCCACGCTAAACACCGCTACAACAGCATCCAGAAGCCGCTGTCCCGCTGGATCATGCGGATTAATTCGATGGTTGCTACTGCAGATTGGGTGCGACACCATCGCGCTGGTAGGAAAGAAGCTACTCGATGCAACCAGTTCCTTGAACGCTTACGCCCAGCTGACTACCTCCAGCTGGCCATGATGGCGGATGCAGCGGACGAAACCCTGAGTTTGCTACGCTACTTCGACGATGAAGGCTCTGACGCAGTATTTTGTAAACAGCTCTTGTTTCCTCATGCGTCAGCTACTGTACTCATCTAAGGATGTATACACTTGAAGGCACGCACACACACAAGCACAAACAGGCACACACAGACACACGCACACACAAACACACAGACACAGACACAGAGACACATACACAAACACAAACACACACACACACACACACACACACACACACACGCGCACACACGAAACAACCACACACAAACGAAACACACACAATTGAATAGGCATCATCACACTGAAAGACACGCGCACAAGGGCCATATACATAAAGCCCAAATGAAGGCATTCACGCTGACACAGACACATGCACACACAAATACACTGAGCTATCTAAACTTTGGTGAGCACGATCTCAATTGTGACATCAGGTTTTGCTGTTGCATTGCCAGCAGGTTCCAACGTGGCAGACACTCCTCAAGAGATCCAGACCTTCCAACGCCACATCCATTTTCTGTTTGTGCAGAACGGTTGCGAACGTGCGCGCGGCTTCACCTCGTTCGCCATCGAGGAACTAAAGCATGTCAAGACGTTCGCGACGACGAAGGGCACGCTGAACACCTTTGGTTTCGCCGACCAGGTAGTCGACCGCGCGCTGATCGACTCCTGCCTCTCCCGGATGAAGGCCACATGTCACCAAATGCAAGCATCGATTGATTTATGCTGCTATGTTTTACCTCATCCACGTGGGTGATAGAGTGCACATATGTTTTACCTCATCCTTGGCTGGAATCGCTTTCAGGATCCCCTGGAGAAGAAGGAAAAAAAAAAAAAAAAAAAAAAAAAAAAAAAAAAAAAAAAAAAAAAAAAAAAAAAAAAAAAAAAAAAAAAACAAAAAAAAAAACACACACACACACACACACACACACACACACACACACACACACACACACACACACACACACACACACACACATGGGTCGACATGGTGGAATCTCCTAACACTTCGGGCATTGCGTCTCCATAGGCATGGTTCGTGCTGGCCATGCAGGTTATCGAGACAGAATGGCCAGACTGGGAGACCTTGAAGTCATTCAGCCTCTTCTCGCTGAATATCGAGCGCAGAGATACGAAGAGCAACCACTTTATCGGCCTCAAGGCCGACGAGGAGGAGGACCGCTACATCGAGCGGCTTGCGAAAGTCTTTGGCTGTTGCGCAGCTACCCTCAAACGTGAATTCCAGGACCATGAGCCCCTTGCCAGAAAGATCTACATCGAACAGAAAGTTTCAACACAGGACGCTTGGAGGGAAGCGTTGAGGCGAACCCAGGAAGGTCGAGCGGCTTTGAAGGCGAATCACCCAGCCATTTCGTTGTTGCCAGTTTTGGCAGAGTTCATGACTTTCGGATCGTCGACATCTGGAGTGGAGCAAGGATTCGCCAAAACTCTACGAACGATAAGTCCTCAACAACTCGCAGCCGATCACATGGTGGAAGAAAACATCTGCAAATTAGCTATTGACAAGGGCTTGGAGCGCGATGCCGACATCGCTCAAACAGCCATCAAGTTCTGGGCCGAGGCCTTCGGTGAGCCAAGAAAACACAACGAGGGGAAGAGCCGCATCGACAAGGGCATCACCACGAGGAAAAGGGCGCGCCCTGACGGCCGGAAGACTGAGGCGGACTTTCTACGCAAGCGGCGGGATAGCGTGGTTGTCGCTGCCCAGGGCACTTCGGCAACTGACGCGTCCAACTCTATCATCAATGGCACATGCCTCCATGAAGCAGGGGGCGCCTGGACTGATAAGCACGAGAAGGAGCAGGACTTCCAGAAGACCAAGCGCGCTAGGCGGATGTTCCTGAATCGTGGCGAGCTGCTGGACGATGAGCTAGCTGACCCTGAAGTTCAAGAGGAAATGAAGCAGCAACAATCCAACCAAGACAAGCGGGACAAAGAACGCTTGGCTGACACCAAGCGAAAAGAGCTACGTACAACTGGTGGTGGGCTAGGCAATATGAACGGGCGCTCCGCTTTCATTGACCAGGACGCCTCCTCTGACGAGCTGTCGGCAAACCTCCTCCGCAAAGGCGCCAACGTCGTGGACCAGCGGTGCGGGGCGCAGACTTTCGTTGTTAGGGACCCTGCTTCCACAAGCACCCGGATCCATGTGAGTGCGCGCATGACTGGCGCGTGGATCTGCACGTCTAGGCTTGACGCTGGCCCCGTCGTGAAATACAAAGCGAAGTTGGATATTCATAAGAAGGTATCCTTAACCACGGACTTCAAGAACGCACAAATGGCAGTGGCAAACATCATCAAGAGGATCGCCACCACGTTCCCGGGGTCCAAGTGGAAGATTCTGGAGGATGTGGAGCAGTACCGCACTCTCAAGAACAAGGCCGAAGTGCAGAAGCGGCCCAACGACGCGTTGGGCATCGGGCTGGACGCAGAGGCCCGTGACGAGGGCACAAAACGGTCAGTCCCGCACTTGTGCATGCGAGTGGGTGTACACGCGATTGAACGCGCCTGCAATAATGAATTCATCAGGGCCGAGTTGATTACATTTGCACGTGCACGCGCGAGCATGTGGGAAAACAGAAACAACGAAGATATTGAGTAGATTGAGCAACGTGGGGAGGAAGATAGAGCGAGAGAGATATTAGGACAGACAAGGAGAGTTGTGATCAGCCAGCGTACCAGACACTATGCGTATACACGCGTGCTCACACAAACATAAGTGTATACGCACTCACACTCTCACACCTGAACGTACACATATCGATGTGTGTGCTCGTACACGTACGTAGCACGACATGTGAGTCTAAGCACGCATGTATGTACATACGCGCAAACGTACGTATACGTGTATGCACGTACTTATGTATGAATTAATACACATATAGAGCACGTTTATATATATACATATATAACACCGATAATAGGTTTGGGGGTGGACGTAGCAAAAATTACACTCTAGTCGGGGGTGGACGTAGAGATATCACTGTGCATTTGGACCTGCCTGAGGCTGGTGTGGATGATCTGATGGACTTCAAGACGTTCCAGAAGCACATTACAGACCTGGACTTCAAGGGAACCCATATTGGATCCTGCCCTGCTGCTAGGGCAGAGTAGTTCATTGTTGTCTTTTGTACACTCAATGAGGTTGGGTATTGCATCTTTGTGTTCTTATAGATGCGATTTCAGAACGTACTATTGTCTCGGGCAACGGGGTGCCCTCCTTTTGCCAGGATGAAAAAAAGACAATCGTCTGGAAACACATTCACGTCCCAAGGATGGCGCTGACGGGCGCACGATGAGGTTATCATACTTAGAATGGTCCCCATAGGAGGGCTCTGGAGGGCAAGTTGGACAATCCCCATTGAAGGGCACACAGGTAAATGCAATCTGGGATCCCACTGGGCGAATTTGAATGCACCATCACTTAGCGTTTTCAGCTGTTCTTGGAAAACCCCTCCCACGATTCCCAGTGAATCGCACCTAGGTTCACATTGGTGAATACCCCATCACATCTTGAATGATTGATTTTCTCGCAATTCGCTCGCGCCTCGAATACGATAACCTTGATAAAAAGAGATTGCCCAAAACGGTTTCCACCATTCCTTCGGGCACCACCAATCGGGCTCGACATACTCCGCGTAGTTCGCAACCGAAGCCTCGAAATACTCGTTGGAATCTGAAGCCCATGCTGGCGCAAGTGAGCTCTGTAAGGGGTGGGGTCCAGCACCCCACCCAGCACAGAGGTCCTCCTCGCCCGTGGCGTCTGCGCCCCCACCCGCGGGTGCTCTCCAAGGTCGGGAGATGAGGGGTTAAAGGGGTCACAAGGGTCTTGGATTGCAGCTCGGGGTGGGGTTGCAGAGGCGCGGGGCTCGCGGGGGCCCCCTTGTGGGCGGGTGTCAGACACCCACCCAGTACAGACCTCGTCGGGGCAACTCCAAGGATCAAACGAGGAGCCGAGGGGTTAGAGAGCTCTGGGTCGCCCGGGACGTCTGCAACCCCTCGGCGGTGCGAAACGCGAAACAAGGTGCACAAAATAGCTAGGTGCAATGTAGGGAAAAGAAAGAAACTGCTCTGACTGGTTTGGGACAGGGAGTTCCGGGTCGCCCGGGACGCCTGCAACCCCTCGGCGGTGCGAAACGCGAAACAAGGTGCACAAAATAGCTAGGTGCAATGTAGGGGAAAGAAAGAAAACGCTTTGACTGGCTGGGGGCAGGGAGTTCCGGGTCGCCCGGGACGACTGCAACCCCTCAGCGGTGCGAAACGCGAAACAAGGTGCACAAAATAGCTAGGTGCAATGTAGGGAAAAGAAAGAAACTGCTCTGACTGGTTTGGGGCAGGGAGGCGTTCCGGGTCGCCCGGGGCGTCTGCAACCCCTCGGCGGTGCGAAACGCGAAACAAACACAAAATAGCTAGGTGCAATGCAAGGAAAAGACGATATACCCTGCTTTGACTGACTGGGGGTAGGACAGTCTGGGTCGCCTGGGACGCCTGTAACCCCTCGGCGCCGCTAAACGCGAAACCAGGTGGGTGCAACGCCAACCCTGGTGCATGATGGCCGTCTTGGATCCCTCGCGGGCTGTCTTTGCACAGGCCGTGCTGATCTGTCTGTGAATATTGCCTCGTCTCACGTCTTTCGCCGTTGTTCTTTCAAGCATGTGGATGTCCAATCGGTGCAGGTCCCGCTGCGAAAACCCCTGCAGGCCCTGCTGCGAAAACCCCGCGGGGCCCCCAGCGTCGCCTCACCCACGTTGCCGACTCTTTGACCCGAGCAATGTTTCACAACAGGTGGAGCCGCCGCGTAGCCTCTCCAGCGGGATATCAATCCAACAAGTTGTTTCTGTTTCTTTGGATGCCGGGCTGTCCTGGGCTTCGCCACCCTACCGCCTGCCCTGACAAACCGAACAACAAAACATAATAACGACCGCCGTGGAGGATTCCTGAGATACTTCATTGGGTCCCTCGCAAGCGCCCATGCACTGCCGATGGCCATCTTGGATCCCTCTAGGGCCATCTTGGCAAGGGCCGTCTTGGACTGTTTTATCGAGGACTATTTGCACCACACATAACATATATCACCTTTGCTTGGGAACGTTTCCCACCTTGATTGTCGCTCTGGCCATCTGCTTTTTTCCAGTGGGCTTCGCCCAGACGCACGCCCTGACAAACCAAACTAAAGACAAAACGAGGAGGGCTGCCGTGGAGGATCCCCCCAAAGCTATCTTGGGCCCATGGCAAGCGCCCCAGCAATAATGTCTGTCTTGGATCCCTCAGTGGCCGCCTTCGCAATGGCCGTCTTGGACTCTCTCTCTCTCTCTCTCTCTCTCTCTCTCTCTCTCTCTCTCTCTCTGTTTATATATATACATATAGGACTTGTGGCACTTACCATGACAGACACCAACTTGGCTAGGGAAAGCTTGGCACCTTGCTTGTCACAGTGATCAATGATGTTGCTTGGGAACGTTTCCCAGATTGCTCGTGGCCATCTGTTTGCTTTTCACTGGGCTTCGCCCCCCCAAACCGCCTGCCCTGACAAACCAAACAAAAACACAAAACGAGGATCGCCGTGGAGGTTCCCTCAAAAACTAGATTGGGTCACATTCAAGCGCCCATGCGCTGTCGTTGGCCATCTTGGATCCTTCTAGGGCCGTCTTGGCAAGGGCCGTCTTGGACTCTACTATCGAGGACTAATGGCACCACACATAACATATAACACCTTTGCTTGGGAACGTTTCCCATCTTGATTGTCGCTCTGGCCATCTGCTTGATTTCCAGTGGGCTTCGCCCAGACGCACGCCCTGACAAACCAAACCAAAGAAGACAAAACGAGACGGGCCGCCGTGGAGGGTCCATCAAAAGACGTTGTGTTGGGTCCTTCGCAAACGCCCCTAGCACGATGGCCGTCTTGGATCCTTCAATGTCCGTCTTGGCAACTCCCGTCTTGGGCCCGATCTAGGACTCTTGGCACCGAACTTAACGTTTTCCACATTGCTTGTCACAATGCACGTTTTGCTTGGGAACGTTTCCCAGATTGCTTGTGGCCATCTGACTGGGCTTCGCCTCGCCACCTGCCCTGACAAACCAAACCAGAAACAAAACAGGGGCCGCCGTGGATGATCCCTCAAACGCTATCTTGGGCCCCTCGCGAGCTGGAACCCTCAAGGGCCGTCTTGGAACCCTCAGGGGCCGTCTTGGAACCCTCAAGGGCCGCCTTGGATCTTGGGGCTCTCAAGGGCCGTCTTGGATCTAGGGCTCTACTTTCTAGTAGGACCCTGGGCGCAATGCGTAACATCGGAATGGCTTCGCATCTTGATGCTCGTTGACGCCTTGCGGTTGTTGTTGAAGCTTTTTTTTCTGGCACAAACGCCAGCAAGGAGTTTCAAGGCGTCGCGGCTTCTTGACCGGGATGGCCCCGAAGAGGGCGAGCGCTGGCGGGGGCCAGCCGAATGGCCCTCCGGAGCAGTTCACCTCTCTCAATGACGACTACCTCAGCTTGTTCTACGACGCGGTGTCCACCGTGCTCGCCCTCCCGGCGTTCAAAGGCTTTCGGTCTCAGAAGCCTCTCGGCATTGGCAGGGGTGGTCACTCCGCTGAGTACAACAGTGAGCACTTCAGGCTCAGCATGTCGAACGTGGGGACGCACGAGGCTGCCTGCAACCTGGGTTGGCTCAACGAGAAGTTCAGCACCATCAACGGGGTCCCCTACAACAGGAAGTTGATTGAACGATACGCCCGAGACCAATTCGCGACTCCAAGCAGCTTTCCGTTCCCCATTGTGGTTGCGTGTGATGATAAGAAGAAGTACGATCCGATGTCGCATTGCGGCGGCCTCCGGTTTGCTACTCCAGAGGAGATCATCCACGCCTTCTACTTCGCGGTGGCACGGGACATGAAGGCAGGCAGCAGCGATGAGACCATCAAGAAGTGGTTGAATGTCGCCCTCACTACCACGTTCCAATTCCAGGTCGTGGATTCAGATGACGACCTCTATTACATGTGCTACAACAAGCGCGAGGAGATCAGCGATCAGGCGAACACCTTGACGCGGAGCGCAGTGCAAACGATCTCCGGGGTAAACGCTTTCAAAATGAAGATCGAACAGAAGAGCGGCAAGCAGACTGTGATGCAAATCCTCAACCTCTACAAGCAGCACACCAATGGATGTGACAGAGATGATGGGCCGCATCAGAGTGGGGTAAGGAGAAAATCTCTGACGACTTCTTGACCAAGGCGATCTACATCTACTCCAAGGTGTTCGCGATCAAGGCCGTGAGGGACATCGTCATGTGGGCAGAAGGTCATTGCACAAGTTTCGACGACAACGACGACGATGACGACGCCGACGACGCTGGCGGCGTCGTCATCGCCGACGACGCCGGCGTTAAAATATTCTTCGTCAGGTGAGTATGGGCATGACAGCCCGTTCAACATGGTGAC